CGATTAACATGAAAAGCAAAGTTCTTCAGCTCTCAGATTGGGTGCCTGGAATGGATGGATGCTTGTGCCAAATCCTTAGTCTTTGAAATGGAGGTAGTATCTCTCCTTCATCCAGCTCAAGATATTTTTGTGAAGATAAAGCAATAGATCTTTGAGAAGCATTCAGGGACTGAACTGCCACAAGAAAACCTTGTAATTCAGGATGTAATTCGAGGGGAGAATCCAGTAAGCAAGGTCTGCAGCTTCAGGTTGTTTAGTGATGTGAATGCAAAATACTAAAGAGCTGCTAATGCTGACATTGTCTTGTTTCACAAAAGCAAGGACTCCACAGAAAAGGTATAATACAGGCTTGAGACTGAGGATTGTGTCGCACAAAGACAGTGTGCAAGAAGTGTCTCCAGACAGTTGATTTTATTCCTACTTTTTCAGTTAGGTTCTGCACCCTTTAATCCTGTTTGAACAAGATTAACCCTTGTTTTAATCAATTTTAACACATGTATGCATGCACACGTTTTTGTGAACGCACATGTTAGCACAGGTAATTTTTTGCAAGTTAGGGGGGGATGAAGAGCAAATTGCATAAACAGAGATTATATCTTGTAGCAGTCTGCTAACATCCAAATGAGTCACCAGAAGGAGTGGAATATCCTGAGCCATCCCACTGCGCCCTGCTCCTCATGCTGGTGACAATGAGGAGATAATTCTCTATTTAAAGCACTCCTATAGAGGAGCAATGCAGATGTTGGTGATTCCATGTCCTGGCTTCTCAGCACTCAGTGTCTGTTGGCACCTTTCTGCCTTCTCCCATCTGCTCCGCTGGCCAAGAAGCTCAGTGTCATTGCAAGAGGAAGCAATGTGTTCAGTGCAGGTGGAATCTTTGGGAATTTTTCCTCTTTAATTTCAGCAAGTCTCTAGCAAGTGTATGTGAACTGGCATTTCCAAACGTTTATAACCTGACTGAAATGAAGTGGCAAAAGGCACTTCCTACCAGGCTCCCTCCCTTCCTCATCTCTGTGCCAAGCACAAGGAAGCAGAGAAAAGGTTTCTGTGATTCGCAATGTGGACCGAGAGACTGGCGCTTCCATGGCTTGTGCTTGGAAAGGTCTAAGCCACTGGGCTTAGATATTTGCAGACAAGTTACCCCTGAGGCACACACCTGGTGATAGAAATTTTCAGCCGAACAGTTTATGTTTGGCAAAGTTTACAAGCAATTGAAAACACAGTCTTATAACAGGAGGTATCTGGCAATCCTAACAGTTGGCAGTTGTGCCAGCCCCACCTATATTTTTGGATCATTTAATAATGCAGTTAAGGTTTTTAATGGAGTCTTTTTTCCATTAAAATTCAGCTAAATACAGAAGTGCAGCTTCTTCATAGTACTTTGAGCTACAAAGCATAGAAAGATCATTTTAAGTGAGCATGGTATGTTTGCAATCACTAGCCAGTTAACATAACCTTCAGAATATCGGGACGTCTGTAATTAATTGAACGTTCGTAAGAAATGCAAGAAAATATACTAGAACTATCACTGATTTTTTCAGATTTAATACCAGCAACATACCTTAAATTATTTTTTAAAGTATTTTTACATGTTCTAAGAATTACATTAGAAACCAGAGAGTAAAGACGTAGTGATATTTTTATCCAGGTTTGTTTGGCTGTTTGGGCAGCACTAGCTCTGACAGCATCATGCTACTTTGCATGAGAAAAAAGGCAAGGAATACACAGCAACGCTGATAATGAGCAACATTCATATGCATGCGGCTTTAACCTCTTTTTAATAAAATGTCTGGTATTTGCTACTGTGACTGCATTTCACAATCTTCATAGGAGAGAACAGCAAACTTCTTACTCATTTTTAACAAAGTGTTTATTAACATTTTTTTTAGCTATGAAATCCTCCAGAATATTATGTAGCCTCTAAAAACAAATACATATTTAAGTAGGTTGGGCCTGCCTTTTTGGGCTGTGATTTCTCAGTGTGCCTTTTGTTGTTTAATTTTAAATACTGAATACAAAAGCAAAACATTTGTTTTTCATTTCATATATATAGCAAGTTACTTTCCACATTGCGTATGAGAATGTCCTTTATTCTGACATGTTAAGGCAAGGAAAATTTTCTGGGTGGTGATAGTTACAGAGATTTTGGTGTGTTGCCCAAAAATGGCCTTTGTATAGCCAAGGCAGAAGAAAAGATGACACACAGTAAACACTGCCTCAGAAAGCTGGTTATGGGAAGGAGAGACTGAACTTGGTCCTCACTGATCAGAGCAACAGTGCTTCAGCTCCCCAGTTTCTGCCATTGCAGTCATTATCAAATGCTGCCCAGTGGACAGAGGGACTGGAAGATGTGCTGGTGGATGATATCAGGGTCCCAAAAACGGTGCCTGACAATGTTTCATCTCACCTCTTCTTTCCATCCCTGCTTAGGACATTTATTAACATACTGAGCAATCCCAAGGGGATCACAGATTGTGGGCACAAACGTGCTGACCACCCCAAAGAGATCAGCATAACTGGCCTAGCACACATCTGGATGGATGCAGTTAGCTGGAGCCTCCCCAGCACAAGAAAGATGCGGAGCTGTTGCAGCAGGTCCATAGGATGGCCACAAAGATGATCAGAGGGCTGGAGCACCTCTCCTAGGAAGAAAAGTTGAGGGAGCTGGGCTTGTTCAGTCTGGAGGAGGATCTGGGAAGACTTCATTGAGGCCTTCCAGTACTTGAGGGGAGCTTAGAAACAGGAGTGAGAGCATCTTTTTACATGGCCCGGTAAGAATACGACAAGGGGGAATAGTTTAAAACTAAAAGAGAGGAAATTTAAGTTAGAAATTATGAGGAAGTATTTTATTCAGAGGCACTGGCACAGGCTGTCCAGACAAACGGTGGATGCCCCATCGTTGGAAGCATTCAAGGCCAGGTTGCGTGGGGCCCTGGGCAGCGTGATCTAATGGCTGGCAGCCCTGCCCACAGCAGGAGATTGGAACAAGATCTTTAAGGCCCCTTCCAATCCAAGCCATTCTACGATGCTATGAACATCCAGAACTCATTATTTGGGGCAGAGAGGATGGAAGGGAGGGGAGAGTTTTTTTAATAAGTTGCAATATAACACGCTTGGTTTGATCAAAGCACGACAGCTTTAGCTTAGCGCACGCGCATCTGCTTGGCAAAGGAAGCACAGCACACCTCGGAGAGGCAGGACTACAGGGAGGGCGCCAGCACCCTGGTAGCAGCAGCAGGATGACGTGGGTTCTTCGAGCGTGGAGAGCGGCCGCCAAAAGCGCAGCGTGCCCACCGGCCAGGGCCGGGCGGCGTGCGGTACCGCTGGGCTGCGCGCTGCGTGCCGGGAGCGCGAGAGCCGTGAGGAGTCGAGCTGTTAAGCCGTCAAGCGTTCTGACTGCTGCGCACTGCGCAGTTACCCCGCGTCTTCCTTCCTGCCCGAGCTGCCCAGCAGCTGCAACGTCAATCGCAGCGTTCGAATCCGAAGTAATTCCCTTCTTTGCAGCGCTCGGAAGAACTCCAATTACGCATCGTACTGGATCTCAATTACAATATTTCTTTATGCAGATAACTTCGTAAACCCTTAAACCTTCCTTTAACCTCACTACGTGAAAATACATCAGGCTACAGCCACGCTAAGGCCGACGATGGCGGTTCCCCCCCCCCCACGCAAAGCCGCTGCCGTACTGGGTGGCTGCGCGGATCCGCGCACAGCCCCACGTGACCGGTGGGCGGCAATTAGCATTCACGCCGAGCGCTGGCGCACTGCGGGGGGGCCGCCGGTGGGGAGGGAGGCAGGAGTTAACGCGGGCAGCCGGCTTTTTTTTTTTTTTTCTTTGGTCTTCTTAATTAATCACCCGCCGCTCCGCGATTTAAATATGGAAATGGCGAGCGATCTGCTCGCAATTATTCACGAGCCCGCCGGCGGCTCCGCGCCCCTCCCGGCCCCACCGTTACCTGCCGCCCACCTGCGGCGAGCAGACCGCCCCTTCGCGGAGCTGGGGAGCACAAATGAGAGGCCTGGCGGTAGGCTTCGCCTTGGGCTGGCGCGGCTCCGCGGCGGGCTGCCCGTGAGCGCGCAACATGGCCGCCGCGGGGCGCGCTGCCGGCACCAGGTGACGCAGGGGCCGCGCCGGGGCCCGCCGCCCGCCCTCTCTCTGTGTTTATTTGTATGTTGAGCCCTTTTTTCTGTCACTTTTCCTCCCGGTCTCCTGGCTGTCCATTTGATGGAGCGAATGGTTACGTGAAAACGAAATAAAATCCCAGCGCTCGGCAGCTCGTCGTGTCGGTGCGGAGTTGTTAGAGCAGCCGGGGCGCGGGCTGGCGGTCAGGTGCAGCTCGCCAGCCGTGTGTGCGCGCCGCTCTGTTCTTCCTGCAGCCCCGGTGCCGTCAAATAAGGACATACAAACGCTTTGAAAGCAAAAGCCGCGCTGTAATGGCAGCTACAGCTTTAGCAGGGGGCACGCGTTGTGCCAGAGCGAGAACGTGCCGCCTCGTTCTGTGCGACTGCGGCACTGAGAGATGCGCCCGGTTCCGTTTTCCCAATTGAACGGGCTGCTGCTCCGCGGCAGCCGGCGCCGTGCGTGCTGGGAGTCGCCGTGCCGGGTAACTGTGTGGCTTTGAGAGCTCGGTGCGGCTGTAGAGCGAAACAAACCGGGGCGAGGACGGGGATCTGAGCTTCAGCGAGGAAGGAAGGCGGGAAGATCGAGGCTGCGATAAACAACGCTGAAAAATGGCAGGAGAACAATGTTTACTTTTGAATATGTGGCCCGCTGCCAGCCTGGCGCTGGTTTTTAGGTTAGCAGAGGTTGGAGGAAGGGCCAGACCGAGGCGTGGCTAGCTGCTGTCAAGGATAAAAAAAAGTCTGCAAATTGCTGTCCTCAGCTTTTTTTCTCTCCTCCACCCCCCACCCCCCCCTCCCGGACGGAAAAAAGGCAGCGCTAGCTCTTAGGGCTATTAAAAATGATGCAGAATTTTAACCATCTGCTGTACCAGGTACTCCACAGTGGTTCTACAGATCTGTGTTTTCGCAGAGAGAAGACCTGCAGAGCTTTCAAATCGCAAAACTGCATTTAAGCGTTTAAATATTTCATGAAGCAGCACCCTTAAAGCCAGATTCCTTTTAATTGCGAATTGAGAAATAGGTTTTACCAAAATCGAAGCATTTTCCATCCTTAACGTGCTGCCGGGGGGGGGGGGGGAGGGGGGGTTGGGTTCTAAAAGGGGCACAGGTGTACTGCTGAGGACAGGGTGCCGGCGCTGCCGAAATGCTGTCCATGCAAGCACTATTAAGGCTCCAGAAACAGCCAGAGATAGAAACTGAGTATTTTGTAGCCTCCTAAGGGCTTTTGACTGAAGTGTGCGAGGCATAACTGCGTGTGGACAGTCATCTCTTGCACTTGACCGGCTGCTTGTGTACGTATCGGAGCAAAATTACCCAATGAATAACATGGAGACTGGAGAAGAAACCGGGCTGCCAACATGGCCTCGTGAACTGTGTTAGTATGTCCAGCTCACAGGGGAAGACCGCTTCGAAATAATAATGGATGGAAAAAATGTTTTTGAAGTGGTGAGGCTTAAAGAAGAAAATAGCAGGAATCTTTAATGTGGTATTCTTTTCGTAAATTAGATTAACTATTTAAGTGCCATAAGCAGCAAATTAAATATTTCAAATATTAATAAATCAGAATGTAATGTTTGTTTGGAGTAAGACTAAGAAAATTGGAGGTTATTGCCTCATAATTCATCTGTGTATTTAAGATCAATTAGAAAGCAAACGGAGAAAGAGATTGTAGTGAAGTATTTTAGACATACAGTTCCTTTGAAAATGCTTTAAGAGTTTGCTTTTTCTCTTATAAGTTCTGTCTGTACTGTCTTGTTACCTAAAGTCACTGGTTATTATTTGTAACTGGGAGGGCTGGATTTTCTTTAAATGAAATGTCTATTATCTACAAATGAACGTTTGAGAAAGGCAGTTAAGTTGTGAAACCAACATAAGGGCCCAGTTAAACCTCTTCTCTCAATTTTAATTATTAACAAACAAACAAAAATATATATATACTGTTGATGTCTTATAGATAAGGTAAATTTTCTTACTTTAAAATGGGAGATTGAGAGCTACATTTTACCACCTGTTGCCTAGTGCAGAAAAGCATTCAGGGGAAGGAAGGTATTCAGTCATCCTGCAAGCCTGTGCTGTCTGTAAGGAAAACAGCTTCTTTTTATCTCTGCTTTTAGGTGCTGCATAAAATTGTACAATACATTTGCTTCAGACAGCGCCAGAGAAGCATAATGAGGTGTTTAGTCACAGTTCAGATGTGTTATTGGTAGAAAACAGTATAGGAATCGTAGGCTGGGTTTTCAATGGAATAGTCCTTGTAATCGAGGGTTGCCTAAATCTCAAGATTGTATCAGGCACTGCTGGGTCTCTCAATTATCTGTTTGTTTTCTGTTAGGCTCTTATCTGCTGGAGATTTTATTTTTCCTGCAAGGCCTTCATTATGACTGGGGATTTTGGTTATGTTGTGTTTTCTGATTTTTTGCTTTTAATTTTTTTTTTTTTTCCCTGTTAACTCTTGGATTTCTGCTTGCTCCCTTTCTTATAGAGCACCTTTGTAGATGCGATTGCAGGAAGTCTAGAGTGAGTGTGCTTTTCTGACACAGATTGTATGAGTGGGAGGGCCTAGCAGGTGGTGACTGTTACAGGAAGGTAAAATAATGGCATGGTAGTGCTGTCATCATCATATTTGTGTTTAAAAGTCAGTGTTATGTACCAGAGTGTTCCATTATAGTGAGGTATGCCTCATATTCTGCAGTTTAGAGCAAAAAGATTTCTGCATGAATAAACATGTCTATGAATACAGTGGTGTTGATATGATTCTGCAAGGTAGTCCTATTTTACTCTATGTGCAAACGTATACATAGCGAGTGTACTGTATCTAACCTTGATTGTGCAGGCTTTGAGATTTATAAAGCTGTTTATAGGCAACATGTTAGGATGTGGGAGCATGCACAATGCCCTTGTGAACAGCCCTTCTAATACTGAAAGTGCACAACACGTTCATAAGAGCATTTTTCTGTGATGATGGATGAATTGTATGAATAAATAAGAAGTGGTGGGATTATAAATTATTTTGGACTTGGCATTATATAATAACTATAATACCTAAAATGTCACTATCCTCAGACACTCATCTTAATATAATCTTAACATTCTTATTTTTATATCAACTTGGTCTTTCAAGAAATATAATAGCATTGAGCTACAGATTTTGGGCACATTATTTAGTTCTAAATTAAGAACACAAACAAACAAAAAACAAAGGCAAAAAAAAAAAAAAAAAAAAGTAATTTTAATGTTAATTTCCCTGTCCTTATGAAAGCTGAATAATACTACCTTTGTGCAGTTGTTGCAAAAACTGAGATTAAGTTGCTTACCCCTACATATGTATTTTTGCTTTCTTGTTTAATCCTGTAGCTAGTTATTTGAAAAGAAGTGTGTTGCTGAGTTTTCTCTCTTTTTCTCTCTCTTTTTCTCTCTCTTTCTCTCTCTCTTTTTCTCTCTCTTTTTCTCTCTCTTTTTCTCTCTCTTTTTCTCTCTCTTTTTCTTTCTTTTTTTTTTTTGGGGGGGGGGCAGTGATGGCTTGTTTTGGGTGTTTTGTTTTTTGACATACTGGAAAAAAGTATTTTTATCACTCTGTATTTCTATTCAATATTCTATGGTTGTATAGAATATGAAATGTAGTGTAATTAGTGTCTTTTAAATAATGAATTAAAGCCAGCAGATGATACAGTGTGCAAAACTGTTTATAACAACAATCAATTTCTATAATGTTCTATGCAATGTGAAATTATTCATGATATAAATTGTGTAAAGTGTAACAACAGTGAGTACGTGTTGAGTGATATTGCAGTACCATTCTGCTGAAGATACACTGATCCAATTCATTGAAGAGAGATCCTCTGGAACATCTGTCAAAGGTTGTCTTGTTTTGGTTTCTATTACAAAGTCCATAGGTTTATTCCAGGATATTCTGAAAAGCCTCTCGTATGTTGTTTTTACAGTGGCAATGGAATAGGTACAATACTACATTCTAAAAAGAACAAGAGGGCTTGATTCTACTGTCAGTACAGAACATTCTTAATGACGTTTCTTGTGATTTGAATAGAGCCAAATCAGGCCTGCCAAATTTGTTTGAAATGAAACAGAAAATAAAAATATATTTGTATAAATATACTTATTTGTTTCTAATCTGCTTAATTAAATCAGCCATGTGGTATCTGGTGTCCATTAAAAATGTACTTATGATCTTTTTTTAAAAATTTTTTTCAGTGCCTGGCTTAGAATGCATTTCATGGTCAGTGGAAAAAAATGAGGAAGAGGAGGGTGTGGCTGCAGAGAATTTGGCTGTGCAGGCAGGGACTGGCTTTTGGGGTTGTGATCCTTCAGCCTCGCAGAAGGAAGACTTCTCTTAGGTAAAAGAGATTTCTTTATTTCTTCATGTATTTTTTTAATAATGAGAAATCACGTAGGCATGTAATCCTGTTATTTTTAAATCCTTACTCATTAATCTCATATTAATGCATATTTTGAAAGGATGGTCAGTTCTCACAGTCGTTGAGTTTGATGGCGTCTTTAATTGCTTCTTCTTTTGCCCCAGATTTCTTAACTCACTAATCATGACAGAACCCACAAAAACTAGTTGCAACATTTTTAGTCTAGTAAGAAAATGGCTTTGATGTTTTCTTTATTGAGAATAGCCACCACGGGACACATCTTGTAGGCTCTAAAGTGTATCTGTAACCAGTTCTTAATTTCTGTGCAAAATGTTTCAGTGTCAGTCACGGAACTGACGTGGATGCACAGATCTTTTCTTCTGTAGTTCCTTATGTTATGAGTGAAACTACGTGATCACAAAAGGTTGGAATGAAACTTAGACTATTTTAAAGTAAAAATTCTTGAGGAATGAGATCTTGACAGTATTTCTAGTAAAAGTGTGTATATCTTGCTCACATTGACTACGAGGTCTATTTGCTAATAATGCTTATTTACATTCTTAATATACATTAAACCTCTTTTCTTCTGCAGGGGCAAGGTATTAGCACTGTATTTATTCCTCCACTGTAGTGAATGCTATTCTAGTATTTTGAAAATGTATGGCTTGTGTTGATGCTGTGAGTGAAAGTGGAGCTGCAGAAACTTCTTCAGTAGTTTAACCACTCACAGGTGTGGTTACAGAATCTGTTCCCTCATCTCCTGTCTTATATTTGAGCTCATCATCTCGCAATTATGCATCCTTGTTCTCCTTTGAAGAGCAGCAGGGTGTGGGTTGTGGTGAGGTATTATCACATTTTGGGTGAATTGTTAGCCACAAGACTGAAGGCTAAGTGTAGTGAACCACCACACAAGTGGCAATATCCCAGCATCTGACACACATCTTGGAATCTCTTAGAATTATTAAATGGGCTTTACAAATAATGATGTGTGGATGGGGAAAAAAGATAATAAAATAAGGAAACACGCTTGTATTGTGAAGCAGAATCTTATAATCTTATACGTTCTTCCTAATTATTTAGAGTGAGAGGAAAAGTAGGTAAGAAAAAAAATGTGCTTCCAAGTACTTCTGTGAAGTTTGAGAAATGCATTGGTGGCATTGCATCAGGCATAGCGGCTAACTTAGAGGATAAATTGTTTCATTTCTACTACACTGTACCTTTTTATTTTGTTGGGGGGAGGTGGAGGTGGGAAGAGGCTTCAGGGATCATTGTTTTTAACCATTGCAAACATTTAAATGTAGAGATCACCGCACTGGATTAGATCTGCAGTCTAATTAATGCTGAGTCTACTCAGACCATTCTTACAAAGGGTTGGTAGGTAAGAAAAGGCAGGGCAAAAAATCCCAGCATTTGATCCTTCCAGAATATCCTGTCCTTTTCAGAAACTGGGCCAGCCAGATACCTTGGCCAGTGGCTTTATTACCAATTTGTGCAAGGGTGTTTCCAGCAAGCAATCCTATTTAACGCCATGTTTTTAGAGGCTGTGCACAGAACAGTATTCTCTCATGGTCTCACGGATGTCCCTTAATGAAGAACTGCGGCACCGATTTTCACATGCTTAGCCTGCAGTTAGTCAGATAATACATTCCCATAGCTCTAATGCTGCTCATTTAATTTTACTGCATGGTCTCCTGTTCAACACTGTAAGTAAAAACGTTCAACTCTGACTTTCAAAGTGTGCATCTCTGTCATGTTCCCTGTTGCTCATGTGCTTGATAACATCATCGCTTTGTCATGTTACGTGGCAGTCGTCTCGAGAGCCAGATCATTTTAGTCACCTGCCATTATCCCCATATTCTGTAGTTTTAATGAAGTAGGGTAAAAAGAGCTGTAGACAGCATTCTTCTTGAAGGTGTTTCTCTGTCAGGTACACACTGAAAGCAGAGTTTCCGTGCTTTTTTTGCATGCACTGTTAAAATTGTTTTCTTTTTTCTTGACAGTGCTTTTGAATTGTTGTAAGGGCACCCAGATCTTTTTTCCTTTGCTGAGAATGTTGCAATGAAACTTACTTAATAATTACCAAAAAGTATTTATCATGTTGTTTCATAGTTGTTTAACTTTGTTAAATTTCTTCAGTAACCCAAATACACTCCAAGTGTCAATTTTGCCACTTTGTTTTACAGTTGATTTTCTGATGCTACTAAATAATGTTGAAATCTGATGCAAGTGTAACTTCTGCATGCAATTACTGTTAACCTTTTTCTTCTTAAGTGTCTTTTTTATTCCTGCATTTTGCTTTGGGCTACTTAGCTCATTTCTAATCATTGGTCTAAATTTCAGTCACGATTGCTCTGTTTTCTTTATGATCTTTGAGTCATTATCAAAGCCTTTTTGAATGGCCATGTAAATAATAATTGCATCTGCAGAGCCATTCCAACATAAAAAAAAAAAAAGACATATTTTTCATTATGTTAGCTGTGTAGTTTTTCTCTCCATTCTGTAATCTCTTCTTAGACGTTCAGGTTAACATCTTTTCAAGTAGCCTTCCAACCATTTCATTAAATAAAAGAATTCATTGGCATGTAATGTGAATTATTTCTGTGGCTATTTAAGGAGTACTACTCTTTCACTCCAGATACAAGAATGCTTTTTTTTTTTTTTTTTTTTTTTTTTTTTTTGTTGGGAATGCTGATTTCAACCTTGAGCAGCCTGTCTTGTCTTGTGGTTTATCCAGTTATTTCTGCACTTTCTATTTTGTTATCTGCTGCTCTCTCATCCTTTACTTGCAGAAGAAGAGATTAACAAGATGTGATCTGAAGGGTTCCAAAAATGCAATTTAATCACTTTGTTAGGACAAACCTTCTTCAATGGTTTCTGCCTGCTCTAGGCCTAAAAAGAAGCTGTTCTTTCTAAGCTGAAGGCTGCCTGTGGGTCTGTCTGGATTTCTAGCCATTGGGAGAAGAATGGACAGTATTTTTGCACCCAGAAAAATTGATACGTGCAAGAACTTTGTGTCACAGAGTCACATTTCCTCCAACTGTTTTCCTATTCCAGAGAAGGAATGTTTTATTCCATAACTTCTTGTAGTGTGGTTTTACTTCCCATTTTGGATTTAGATATTGCTGATGGCTGCTGTGAAAGAAAGAAAAAACCTGGAGAATGAAGGACTTGCAGGGTGAGAAGGAGGTGTACAGTCTTGTATTTCTTCAGGAGGGTTAGTAGTTGTAGAGATGTTTGTTTGTTTCTTTATATAGCTCTCATCAGGAACTCAGCTGTCAAGAAATGTTAATATGGCCATATGGCCACATATATGAAAAGTTGAGTTCACTCTTTTGTGTGACTAAAGATCTCAAGGTCATAATCAGCCATTATCTTTTTTGCAGTTTTTCCTCCTCTTCATTCACTCCCTTTTTTCCCCAGTATTATTTCAAACCTACCAGACAACTGTTCTGCAGTTTTCTTGCATCTAACATATGTCAATAAATTGTCCTTATGTCTTTGATTCTTTGGTTCAGTCCTTCTGCTTCTAATCTCAGTTTTAAATACTACTTTGTAACTACATTCTTTGTTCTGTTAATTTCAGTTCAGTTCACCTCTTTGCCTCGACATATGTAAAGTTTTTCTCAGTACCCAGTTTGCCCTTGTCCACGTATTTCTTCTGTGTTTTGAGGTTGTCTCCCTTTATTTTGAACAAATATTCTATGTCTGCATAATCTTTTATGTGTAAAAGCAGGGTGTTCCCATTTAAGTCAATGGGAAGATCCGATAAACATGCAATGAGACAATATGTTACTGGATTTCCCAGTAGGTTATTTTAAATACCTGTTGTAGATTTTTATTTATTTATTTATTTATTTTCCTAGGAGCTTGTTTTGCTAAGGAAATTGACTTTTTTAAAAAGTAGTTGTGTATCAGGGCTTTACAACTTCGGTTCTCTTTCTTTGACCCTTGGTGCGTTAAAAAGCCCAATATTTTTCTTCTAGATTTTGGGGAATAGCAGTCACTGGAAACTGTGTGATTAGATTCATACGTTCTAGACAAAGAAGTGGAGAGGTCAGAAATGTAGGGAGTTGTACTCAGTGCCAGTCATTCACCCACCTGCAGTGGGCACACCACCCATCTTGATGCCAACGCGTGGTCTGGAAGTTTCTTTTATGTTGTGAGCCCTCTGGGCTAAACCTCATGCTTCCTGGTGGCATGTACATTCTACAGAGGCATTTTCCTTTCAGTTTTCCTGATGATAGTCTCTTTCCTTCCCTTCCTATTGGGGTAAGAAAAGACCAGAAACAGCAGGAACAAGTAACAGCAAGGGTGAGTGAAGGAAGATATTCTTTTCACAAACTGAAAATACAGTAAAGCAAATGTAACGTTATTTTTTTGAATTCTTGATTTCATTTCTCTCTTCTGATCCATATAAAACAAATTGAAATTCATGGGCTCCTGCTATGAAGAAGCTTGCAAACAGGAAAAGTCACTTCTCAGATGTTCTGAGGAGGGAGGAGTGCAAGAACCTTTCTCATTCTGCATATTGCTTGAGGATGCATGGCCAGCAGAGGAGGGAGAAAGGGGCATGTTGTCTGGGTATAATGAGACCCCAGATTGCTTCATCTGGAATGAGACACTTCAAGTGTTAATTCCTCTTGCTAGACTCTAGAAAACTACATGTATTGTTGTGGATTCAAAATGTGTTATTTTGCACAAAGTATCTAAGAACTGGAAGACACCCTTCCTCCTATCCCAAATAGTTAATGTAGACAAGTGCTGTACCCTGCTGGTTTAGGACCTTGTTTTGGAGCCTGGCACTCCTTGGCCTCCTTTAGAAAGCCTGCTGACATGGGTAATCTAGCGCTCATTTTCAACTGCGCTTCTAGCCCCTGAGGAGTCTGCCTGTGCTGCTAAGCTCCCTGCTCCAAAGATTTTGGTCAGCGTGGCACCCCTGCCTGGCCTTAATCATATTTCCTTCTGGAGCTCCTAGCAAT